CCGCCGCTGCCCGCGCGGCCATGATCGCCACCGCGGCGTGGCGCGGCCGGGCGGGGGCCGGGGGGAAACAATACCCCCACTTTTTTAGTCCGCGGCCCCTCCTGTGCGCATCCACGCGGCCCGCCGGGAAGCGCCGACCCCCTCCCCCTCCGCAGGCCCGCGGGAGCCGCGCCGGGGGCACGCCTTACGGTCTGGGCCTGCTCCCGCTGTGTGCTTTCATGGTGAAAGTTTTTGGTTCAGGTTTAAATGAAACTTTTTTCTCTTTTCCTCTCTAACCCGGATATGGGTAAATACACGACTAGCTGAGCCTATCGGGCCCAGCATGGCATGAGAGGGAGCCGTGCAAGCCGGAGCAACTATTATCCACTTCTCGCCGAGGACTCCTGCGCACTCGCAAAACGCGGACTGGACTCGCCCGGGCGCCGGCGCGGCCTCGCGGGCACCCACGGGCCGGGCGGCAGCCCCTGGACGGCGGCGTCCCCCGCGCCACCGTCGCCTAGCCAACCGGCGCGAACGAGTTTGTTTTCAGAGTAAAAGGAGCGCTCCAAATGTGAAAAACGAGTCTGAGGAGCAGACAAAAGAGGGAGAGGGCTGGGGAACAAAGTTGTCTGTTGGCCTCTGGGGTGGCGGAGGAGAAAACATTGAGGCAATCTGCAAAAACACGGTCTCTCCCAGGAGTTATGTAATTCCTTCAGAACGCTGGCTTCTCTGCTTTGATTTGAGGCCATCAGCGAAATTCCCACAACTTCTTCCAACTGCAAAATTAGCAAAGACTTAAGTGAAGGTTAGCAGCATTCCAAGAGTGCTGGACCCTGTACACAGCAGGTACTCAATAAGTGTTGATTATTGACAAAAGTCACCCCAAAGACAATGTTTATATAATTTCTTTTTAGGGCACCTTAAATAGGTAAGAAAACCCATATAGTGCCAAAGTATTTTTGCTACTCTGAAAGAGGCAGTGTCAAGTTATGATCCAACTTTAATATGAACAATTTAACCATTGGTGGCCACGATACAGCTAAGGTTTACCTCCCATCTTCATAAATGGACACGACACCTTTCATCATATTTCAGAGGTAAATTTGTGCAGTAGCCCTCGATATGAGTTCGTGGCCAAGTAATGTAAAACAAAACCAAAGTAAACAGATGGTGTATGTAACAAAATGGAATATGAAACAGTAGAACCTAATCCTAAAGCAGATATATTTCATACTTTGTTTTAAAAAGTACTATTTTCAGGCCGGGGAGATAGCTCAGTAGAATAAGTGCTTGCCTACCAAGCGCAGCGTCCTGAGTTCAATCCCCGGTACCAAAAAAAAGTACTATTTTCCTACGCTATCATATTTTAAACATGTATGTTATGAGTTTTTCACCTTTTAAAATTTTAAATGTCTTTGATAGGACCTCTTCTTAACCTAAGCAATAGTTGGACTCAGTTGTCATTGAGAAAAAGCGTTTGAAACCAGAGCTTCCCAGAGGCCACACTGATAGAAATTATAGAGTGGATTGGGGATGGTGTCATTTTTCAAAATTATTTAATTCTTCACCCTTTCCTAAAAAGTAGTTTATTTCAGTTGCAGTGGTTGTTTCATTGCTAGACCTAGCGTGGGTATGTCACATGACTAAATAGAGAAATCAATAGATTGTAAAGGAAAAAAATAGAACCAGTGACTAATTGGGATGGCGAATCAGGTGCACACCCAAGGATCATTATAATGTGTAGAAACAAATTGTAATTTGATGCAAACAATTGAAAAAACGAGGTATATCATTGTGTATAAGAGAATAACAAAACCTAAGGTGAATTCATATGAAGCCATCAGTTTTTGCCAAGAGACACTGTTAGTGTCCCCTTTTTAAAATTTTGCTGGATTTTCTCTTTATATATTTAAATATATACTAATTATACACATCCTATCATATAAGTTGAATTTTTAAAGCTTTTCATATGAAAATATATATAGTTTTGTGTGTCTATACAAATATTCTAAAATCGCATATTTTTAGACCTTTATAGTCAATTATGTATAACCATAAAAGTATTTTTAAATTAATAAAACACATCAAAATCAACTCAGAAGTGTAGCCATGTGTTATGACTTATTTTCACGACTAATCCTACATAGGAAAATTAGTCACCAAGTTTAGTTCAGCCCCTTTGCTTAGAAATGTTTCTTCATGTCAGAAAATCAGAAAACTAAAAGGAAAAGCAGTATCATGAGATGAAATGTCCTTTAATTCCCTTTGCTTCTTCAAATCAACTAGAAGGTGGGAACCAGGGGGCAAAAATAAGCCCCCCCCCCCGCAATGAAATCAATCTACTGTAAAAGGCGACACATGCCAGTTTTTCCTCCCCAATGGCAGATGCCACACCCTAAAGCAGACAGAAGGCACTGCAGCCTGTAAGAGAAGCACAACACAAAGCCAGCAGGACTTTGTTTTGTCTTTTAAACCACAGGGAATGCTAAAATACCTTTTTAAAAGTATCTTTGCTGAAGATAAAATAGCAGACTCATAGTGAACTTTTCAAACATGCTTTCTCAGAAAAACAAAATAAAAGCCTTAGTTTCATTTAAAAATCCAGGGCTCAATAAACAAAATGGCAATTATCAGAGGTCTGTTCCAAAGTGATAAAATATGCTTGCATTTCACAAAAATAACTTCAATGATCACATAATTTTTATGAGGTTCCTTGCCTCAGTTATATGACTGTTCATCTTACCATTTTGTTTTGATAAAAATAAGGTAATAGAAATTATTCTAATGAGTTCCTTAATTTTACACCTCTTGCCTAAATTTCAGGCCACAATGACAACTTTAATAAGTTGTTTTATGGTCAAGGAAGTTGTGGAGGTGCGCAGCTAGCTCCCACCCACGGGGAGCTCCCCACGCCTTCTTGTATAGCCAGAGGATTACCTAGTATTTTGTTAAACATTCCTTTTTGGTTACAAAAGATTTTCTTTCTTTTTTCCCTACTATATGGAAATATTAATATTCAAATACTCCTCCTTTTGAGTGAGTTTTAGGGCACTGAATAAAAGGCTCTTGAACTTGCCCACTGAAAGAGGATTGAGCCAGATGGCAGTTTAAGAATTCCACAGCTCTGTTCTTTTCGCCTCTTCGTGGCCCATCATACTCTGTTTGCTTTCAGATTAGTCCCCCTTTTACTATTCTACTTATTTACTCGATGACTGAAGCTATCACGATTCACTGCCCATCATATTTCTCAGTATTCTTTACGTAATTTAGAAGCAATTTAGAATAAAGCCTTGTCAAGGTTTTACAAATAAGAACTATTAAAGAATAAGGCCTTGGATACTTGCTTTCCTTTTAGATTTATGAGCAATGCGGTGAATGGAGTTAATGGGATTTCCCTACTGATCTTGGTCAGGGACTTAAAAAAGCACTAAACAATTGTCCTTTTCACTTCTCCGATTTAGACATTAGCAGTGAATAACTGAGTCAGTGCAAGATATGGGATACAGCATTTGATTTGAAACAACTATGTAAATTATCCACTGACCCATAAATTCAGAATGCGAAACAATTAGGATTTGGAAAAGAAAAAGTAGGTGAGAATAATTTAAATTTTGAACCATGTGAAATTGTGTTATTATACTTACTGAGAAAATTATAGTGAAGAGAAAAACTGGATGGGGGTAAACTACACTGAGCCGTTCAACATATTTACCTAGGATCTGTGCTTTGTTCCATGTCCAGAAAAAAAATACTACTTAGTCCTGTCCTTAATACTAGACGGACAGCATGAACAATTTCACTAAAACACACCAAAGTCTGCCCTCTGACCTCCTGGAGGGTGTGGCCCATAAGGAAGAGTGCTCAGACTTTCCCTCCAATAGCACTGTCTACAACTGTGCCTTGTTTGTTCCCCTCAGTGGACACCTGATGCTAACTCTTCAGTCCTCCTGTCTCTGACTTGATACCAGGGACATGTCACTGTTGCAGCTGGATTTCTGGAAACTTAAGTCAAACTTAGCAGGCCACTGCACTTTTATCTCCAAAGCCCCTAAAAACACAGTAACAGCCATGAAATAAGTGAAGAAAACATTTTTTCATGTCTTTAAATATTCTATTTTTTGTGTTCTGTTCATGTTTTGAAAGATGTATGATAAGTATTTTTATTACACTGAAGTTTATAACTTAGACAAATTTGTGTTCGATGACATTTAATTTCCATTCTCATTCATTTTGTCACAGCAGATCTTTAGTTAGTGCTTTTCAAAATTTGCTCCTGCATTGTCACATGATCATTCATATGGGTCCTATCATCGATGACCTGCTACTCAGTTAAAAATACTTTATAGATAAGTCTACTTTAGTCCTTCAAAAATAAACACTTGGTAGTAAGCATTTAAGATACTTTGCAATAATTACATATGCAAGAAAGTAATTTGGAAGTCTGATGACTTTAAATTTTTAAGATAGATTTCAATGACTTGTGAAGACCTTAGATCTTTCTCACGTACCTCATTGCTTCATAATACACATAGACTTTTAAAATAAAATTACATTTCATCTGTAATCCCAGCACTCAGCCTGAGGCAGGAGTATTGCTGCAAGTTCAAGGACTACCTGGGCTACAAAGCAAGTCCAAGGACAGCCTAAACTGCCTAGTAAGACCCTGTCTCAAAAAAGCAACAAAAAGTACATTTCAAGCACAATAAATTCCAATCAATAACTCATGTGCATTAATGGAATATATTCTTAATTTTTATTCTAGTCCACTCATATTCAATTGCTTTATCCATAATTCCATATGAGAGTCAATGAGCACCTTCAAGGGGAAATTATTAAGTTAT